CGCGCTCCCGCGGCTGCGTTCTAGCGTGTGCACGTTCTTAAGTCCAGACTCCAAAAAAAAAAGGACTTTGTGCTTTTTATGTGTCATTTGGAGACAAGGGCGACCTGCAGGGTTGTTGTCGGAAGAAAAGCGTGTTGAGGAAGTTTAGTTTGGAGTTTGAGGCTAAAATAAAAGCAGCTAGCATGAAGCTAACTGTTGTAGCATTGAAGGCGAGCTTCCTGCAGAGTTTTACTGTCTCCGCAGAGCACACGCTACCTCTGTAACTTTGTGTGATCTGGGGGGATATATAGTGGACATTTAGGGGTCGTAGTAGAAGAAGAAACAGTCAAAGAACGGGAATCTTTGTCCCAAAGCTAACGGAAAGGCGGAAAACGAGGAGAAACCCTGAGCTTTCCCAGCTGGAAGTGGAGCCTCCAGGTTGGTGTGTGTCCATGATCAGTGTGATGCTGTGTGGACCTGATCTTTATTCATTGTGTTTGTCCAGCACACCATGGAACAGGATTTATTCCAGATTGGATCTCTTTCTCTTCATGTTCCTGTTTGTTTCTCCCCTGAGGAGCATTTCCCAGCTAGCATGGGGTTGTACATGTCCTGATCCTTTGTGTGTGTCCGGTTTCAGCCGTTGGAGAAAAAGCAGCAGCAGTGAGAGCGACTGAAGCCTAAAATCATCTGAACCAGCAGAGGGAGCAGCAGGGACTGTGGAGAGGAGAGTCCCAGGTGGAGCGGGGATGCCTGGAAGGAGGAGCCTCCATCCAGATGAGCCCAGTGGGGGTAAATATCACATCTGAAGGGAAAATGAATGGGCACATTTTGTCCTCTATGTGTACACATACACCTAATGAAGGGGTGTGAATGTTAATATAAAAAGAAAAGTGACTGTTATAATTGTAACAGCACAAAATGTGATCAGTCGGAGGCTTTTGCGTGGAGTTCCAGCTTGTCTTTTTTTCATTGTTGATTACAAAGATCAGGGTAAATACAAGCTAACTCATTATTTCCATGTGTGTTTCAGGTTTACCTACAGATGTTCAGCAGGTGTTTGTTGCTAAAGAGGAAGTTCCATGGACCTCAAATCTGGACCCAG